ACACACAGTAGAACACACAGTAGAACGCAGTAGAACACACAGTGGAACACACAGTAGAACGCAGTAGAACACACAGTAGAACTCAGTAGAACACACAGTAGAACACTCAGTAGAACGCAGTGGAACACACAGTAGAACGCAGTAGAACACACAGTAGAACACTCAGTAGAACGCAGTAGAACACACAGTGGAACACACAGTAGAACGAAGTAGAACACACAGTAGAACTCAGTAGAACACACAGTAGGACACACAGTAGAACACAGTAGAACACACAGTGGAACACACAGTAGAACGAAGTAGAACACACAGTAGAACTCAGTAGAACACACAGTAGGACACACAGTAGAACACAGTAGGACACACAGTAGAACACACAGAAGAACGCAGTAGAACACACAGTAGAACTCAGTAGAACACACAGTAGAACACACAGTAGAACTCAGTAGAACACACAGTAGAACACACAGTAGAACGCAGTAGAACACACAGTAGAACTCAGTAGAACACACAGTAGAACACACAGTAGAACAAAGTAGAACTCAGTAGAACACACAGTAGAACACACAGTAGAACAAAGTAGAACTCAGTAGAACACCTGTGTGTAGACGCTCCCACACAGCGAGCAGCTCCACTGCAGCTGCAGGAACAGGAAACACACCACGTGACCTTTGACCCGACCTACAGTGCTCCTCTGCTCCCTGCTCACTGCCCACACACCCAGGTGCATCATGGGAGCAGGAGGAGGCATGGTGGAGCTGACAGGAAACACACACACACACACACACACACACATGGATCAATCAGTAAATCAATAACATTATCAATACTGTCATTGATCTGTGTGTCTGTGTGGTTACCTCGTATCTCCCAGTGAGATAACTGTTACTGAGCTGACAGGAAGAGAACTGCAATACACTCCTCCTGACCTGGAACACACACACACACACACACACACACACACACACACACATGGTAACACACTCAAGTGATATTATATACAATGTGTAACCTGTGTGTGTGTGTGTGTGTGTGTGTGTGTGTATGTTACCTGGACACTCTCCTCTGGAAAGCAGACAGCAGCAGTGTGTTGCCAGGCAACAAGCCAGGTGGGTAGGGGGTGTGGCTCAGGTCCAGGTACACCTGGAGGCTCCTCCCACTGTGGTCACACACTGTGAGTCTCACACCTGCAGCAGAGTCAGTGGTCCTGTCGTTCAGACTGATCCTGTCACACACCTGAGCCTGAACACACACCAGCTCTGAGCTGCGCACACACAAGTGCGCACACACACACACACACACACACACACACACACACACACACACACACACACACACACACCAGGTGAGATGTTTCAGTCACACTCCAGCTGCTTCTCGTTCTGACACTGACAGTTAAGCTGTCATGGAGGTGATACACCTCTGGGTGGCGTCAGTTTGTGTCATCAGTGTGCAACTTGCACTTCTTCACTTCCTGTATGAGTTAAGAGCCAAATCATGATGTTTTTTTCAAAGAACAGCAGCTGTTAGCAGTTAGCAGCTAACTCAAAGAAGAACAACAGCTGCTAGCAGTTAGCAGCTAACTCAAAGAAGAAGAACAGCTGTTAGCAGTTAGCAGCTAACTTGAAGAAGAACAGCAGCTGTTAGCAGTTAGCAGCTAACTCAAAGAAGAAGAACAACAGCTGTTAGCAGTTAGCAGCTAACTCAAAGAAGAAGAACAACAGCTGTTAGCAGTTAGCAGCTAACTTGAAGAAGAACAGCAGCTGTTAGCAGTTAGCAGCTATCTCAAAGAAGAAGAACAACAGCTGTTAGCAGTTAGCATCTAACTCGAAGAAGAAGAAGAACAGCAGCAGCTGTTAGCAGTTAGCCGCTAACTCAAAGTAGAAGATGTAAACATGTTATTGAACACATTAAAGTGAATCTGTCAGACAGTGGGACATCGACCAATCAGAGATCAGAGACCAGTCAGAGGAGGAGGAGGAGGAGGAGGAGGAGGATGAAGATTTACCTGCAGTCCAGCACATCAGAGACAGACAGGACAGAGGGCGGGACAGGCTGAGCACACACAGAAACACACAGTTAAACCTCAATGATCACCTGATCAATAACACATGACTGATTATTGATGCTCCAGCTCTCAGTGTGTGTGTGTGTGTGTGTGTGTGTGTTACCTGTGTGCAGGTGTGCAGCCGCAGTGGGCGGATCAGAGTATGGAACCTCCATTCAGATGGGACCTGCAGGGTGGGGTCAGTGTGGAGCTCCACCCCCCTCCGCCCAGAAACACCACAGCCAATCAGAACGGTGGGATCCTGAGGCACAGACACACACGGACCAATCAGCTGTCAGGTATTTGTCTCACTGCTACAAACACCTACAAGACGTAGCAACGTTATCTGTGGACTTCAGAGTGATGACGGGCTGATGACATCACTGTGACCATGACCTTCTTTACACAGCAACAATATTCAGTGACTTTCCAAAACTTTCCAGGACCTGACTCATTCCATGTGTTTTCCAGGTCTGAAAATGAGCTGCTTCTCCAGGTTTTCCAGGACTGTAGGAACCCTGTATTCATGGGCTGGACAGAATAATAACAATAATAACAGAACCGACAGGTGAGAGGACATCAGCCCCGCCCCCTCAGTGACATCACCACAGGTGTGTTTACCTGTGTGTTAGCGGCGATGAGTCTGTAGAAACATCCAGGCTGCAGGAGAGGAAACCATCGAGCTGACACACCTGAGAGCACCAGGACCACCTGCACGCACACACACACACACACACACACACACACACACACACTCAGCACAGGGGCATTATGGGATGTATTCTTCTTCTTCTTAAGAGGGCGGGGCTTATTCACACGTCTGCTGGGTCACACCCATCAGCTGACCTCAGAGCTTGTTACAACCCGCTGAACACAGGGCCATTATGGGATGCTTCAGATGTCTCACCTTCTCCTGTCTCTCTGACTCCACCTCTCTGTCTGTCATTGGTCCGTTCTTCGGGTCCCACCCCCAGCTGACCACCGGACCAATCACAGCTGCTCTGACAGAGAAACACTGCGACAGCCCGGCTTCATCCCCCTTTAACCCCGCCCCTGTATTCCTCCAGGCCACGCCGTCCTTCTGCTCAACCCGGATCACCATGGAGACGCAGGGCTGGGAGCCGCAGCCCGTCATGGTGACCGTGGAGAAGACAGAGGGGGAGGAGCTTTCTTCTTCTTCTTCTTCTCTTCTTCTCTTCCTCCTCCCTGCAGTCTGTTTCCTGTCTGTGACCTCACCTCCTGACTCCGCCCCCCTCTGTCCCAGGTGTGTAACCATGGCAACAGATGGACTCAGGATGTGGACGTGGTCCAGAGAGAACTGCAGGTACACGCTGACACACACACACACACACACACACACACACACACACACACACACACACACACAACATGATTTAATGTGTGAAACAGACGTGGCAGTGACACCGTGACTTCTCTCAGCTCAACCTGGGGTTTGTTCACACCTGTCGACCCTGTGGGGGGGTTCGTTTCATTTGAGTCCATCACCAGCAGAGGTAACTTGTCCACCCTGATGAACTGGTTCTGTTTTCCAATGATGGTCTTCATAGTCTCTAGATGTTCTTGCTCCTCTGTCTCTTTCACCCACTCTGCCTCCTGGTTTACACCAGAGTTACACCAACTTAAAGCTAAAGGCCGTCACCTGAAAGCCTTTGTGCATAAACTGGCCTTGTGGAGCACAGAGACATGAACACTAGCCACTTACTTACTTCTCTACTATCTGAAGCTAGATCAACACATGATGCACATTTAATCCAGTCAGCTGAAGGAAACATTCGATCCCTCTCTCCACTGTTCACAACCTTCTACATCCACCTAATGCTCTGGCTCCTCACCTGTTCTGTCCCGCCCAGTCTAACACCTTTATCAACTTTGTTAATGCCAAAACTGAACATATTCACCAGCAGCTGACCACGTCTAACAACACTAACTACAGCTCACCTGATTTGCTTCTCTGTGCTCCCCCTTGCTTCCCTATATAGTTTGAAACTTCCCACTGTTGCTGAAATATCTTGTCCGATTCGTAAATCCAAATCATCTACCTGCCTGTTAGACCCCCTTCTGACTGTGACTGTTCCTTCCTCCCTTACCTCTGGTCTTGAGCCCACATCTCTCAAACTGCTGCTATGACTCCAGTACTAAAGAAACCTGGTGCAGATCCCAACAATTTGAGCAACTTCCAACCAAATTCAAATGTACCATTCCTCTCTAAAATACTTGAAGGATCAGTTGCAGCTCAGGTCCACACTCACCTTAGACACAACAATCTGAACAAGTTCAGTCTGGTTGTTGCTGGTTGTTGCTCCTGTCACAGCACTGAGACAGCTGGTCAAAATCATTAACGATCTGTGTGCAGCCTTTGACACCATTTCACATAAAATCCTCCCAGAAAGATTAGCTACCACTGGTATCACTGGCACTGCTCTAAACTGGTTTAAGGCACATCTCTCTGGCTGCAATCATTTTGTTCAAATCAGCAAATTCAGATCCAACTCTTTTCCAGTTACTAGTGGTGTTCCTCAGGGCTCTGTCCTAGGTCCCCTTTCATCTACCTCTGGGCCATATCTTTAGAAAATGTAGTATTCAATTCCACTGTTAGGCCAATGACTCCCAGCTCTACCTGTCCACCAGACCTACCTGTCTGAACTCCTTCATATCTACACACCCTCCTGTACTCTGAGATCCTCCTCTGCACTCCAGCTCACATCACCATCTGCTCTCCTGACCACCATGGGTTCTAAATCCTTCAGCCGCTCAGCTCCTCACCTCTGGACGACCTCTCCAACATGACAGTCACAATATTGACTCCCTCACCATTTTCAGACCTCGTCTGAAAACACACCTTTTCAAGCAGCCATATTCGGTCTGATTTAACAGACACTCACATATTGATGATGATTATTTTATAACTAATGTTTATAACCATGATTTTGTCTCGTCATTATTTTAACTTTATCATAGATCACTGAATTGTTTGATTTTATGATCGATGGATACACTGCTGCTTGTTTTGTGTTTTACTGAGTCCTGTCAGGTGTCCTTGAGTGTCCTGAAAGGTGCCTACAAATAAAATGCATCATTATTATTATTATTATTATTGTTCTGTGTGTGTGTGTGTGTGTGTGTGTACCTGCAGTGTTTGTGTGTGATGTACTGGTCCTGGTCCAGGTGTTGGTGGGAGGGGAAATCTGATTGGAGGAATCTTTCTGTTACCATGGTGAACTGATGTACACACACCAGACAACCTGCAACACACACAAACATTTACTAAACCTGCAGTGACCTTTGACCAGTGTGTGTGTGTGTGTGTGTGTGTGTGTGTG